TGACTTCCTGAACATTTTCCAGAAAGACCATATGTTAGGCTAAAAAACAAGTCTTAATGAATTTTAAAGGATTAAAATCAAAGTATCTTTTCTGATCGTGATGGAATGAAGCAAGAAATCAATGACAGAAGGAAAACTGGAAAAGTCACAAATACATGTAAATTAATCACATGCTTTTACACTAAATTCCACATCAGAAACTAATATTACACTGTATGTTAATTAACTGGAATTTAAATAAAAACTTGAAAAAAGAAAAAATAAACAGCATGCTTTTATTTATTTTTTAAACTTTTATTTATTTATTTGAGAGAAACAGAGAGAGCATGAGCAGAGGGGAGGGGCAGGAGAGGAGGGAGAAGCAGACGCCCTGCCCAGCAGGGAGCCTGATGCAGGGCTCCCTCCCAGGACCCTGAGATCATGACCTGGGCCAAAGGCAGACACTTAACTGACTGAACCACCCAGGCACCCAACAGCATGCTTTTAAATAAAAAATTGGTCAAAGGAGAAATCACAAGGGAAATTAGAAAATACCTTGAGACAAATGAAAACAAAGACACAAAATACGAAAATGTATGGGATTCAGTGAAAACAGTGCTAAGAGGGAAATTTATAGCAGTAAATGCATACATTGAAAAAGAAGACATATCTCAGATCAATAACCTAACCTTACACTAAAAAGGGGAGCAAACTAAACCCAAATCTAGCAGAAAGAAGGAAATAATAGAGATTAAAGCAGAGATAGGGGCGCCTGGGTGGCTCAGTTGGTTAAGCGACTGCCTTCGGCTCAGGTCATGATCCTGGAGTCCCGGGATCGAGTCCCGCATCAGGCTCCCTGCTCAGTGGAGAGCCTGCTTCTGCCTCTCTCTCTCTGCCTGCCTCTCTGCCTACTTGTGCTTTCTCTCTGTGTGTCAAATAAATAAATAAAATCTTTAAAAAAAAAAAAAAAAAAAGCAGAGATAGAAGTGGCATAGAGAATAGAAAAAACAAATAGAAAAAAAACAACAGAAAAAATCAATAAAACTAAAAGTTAATTCTTCAAAAAGATCAATGAAATAAACTTTTTTTTATTTTTTAAAAGATTTTATTTTAAGTAATCTCCATACCCAGCGTGGGGCTTGAACTTACAACCCTGAGATAAGAATTGCATGCTCCACCAACTGAGCCAGCCAGGTGGCCCTAGACAAGCTTTTAGTTCAATTGACTGGGGAAAAAAAGATATAAAAGACTCAAATCATCAAAATCAGAAATGGAAGTGTGGACATTATTATAAATTTTGTGGAAATAAAAATATGAATGTTTATATGCCAATCGACAGGATAACCTAGATGAAATGGACACATTTCTAGAAACAATCTAACAAAATTAAATCATGAAGAAATAGAAAATCCAAATATACCTACATCATTGAGATTGAATAAGTAACCAAAAACCTCCCAACAAAGTAATGTCCTGGGTCAGATGACTTCACTGGTGAATCCTATCAGCTATTTAAAGAATGAACACCAATCCTTCCCCAATTCTTTAAAAAACTGAAGAAGAGGAAATACTATGCTATGAGACCCTGATACCAAAAACAAAGACACTATAAGAAAAGAAATGTACACACCAATATCCCTGATGAATTTTGATGGAAAAATCCCCCAGTAAAATACTAGCAAACTGAGTACAAATGATAATTGGCCCTGCAAATAAAAATTTGGATTTGTTAAAAAAAAAAATACCAGCAAACCAAATTCAGCAGCATATTAAAAAAGATTATCTGTCTTGACCAAGTAAGATTTATTCCTGGACACAAGCCTGGGTCAATATACAAAAATCAATCAGTGTAATACATCATGTTAACAGAGTGAAAGAGAAACCCACATAATCATCTTGGCTGATAAAGAAAAAGCATTTGACAAAATTCAACACACTTTTTAATAAAAAAAACTCCCCACACTTAATAAACTAGGAATGGAAGGATGCTTCCTCAACATGATAAAGGCCATATATGAAAAACCAATAGCTAACATCATCCCCAATGGTGAAAGACTGAAAGCTTTTCCCCTAAGATCCAGGACAAGGCAAGGATGCCCACTTTGCCACTTCTGCACAACCTAGTGCTGAAGTCCTAGCCAGGGCAACCAGGCAAGAAAAAGAAAAGGCACCTACATTGGAAAGGAAGAAGTGAAATTATCTCTATTTACAGGTGATATACTTTCATATGCAGACACCCCTAAAGAGTCTATACACAATAAAACAGAGCTAATAAATACAGCAAAGTTGTGGGATACAAGATCAATGTACACAAATCACCTGCGGTTTTTTTTAAGGATTTTATTTATTTATTTGTCAGAGGAGAGAGCACAAGCAGGGGGAGTGGCAGGCAGAGGGAGAAGTAGGCTCCCCACTGAGCAAGGAACTCCATGTGGGACTCAATCCCAGGACCCTGGGATCGTGACCTGAGCTGAAGGCAGACGCTTAATGACTGAGCCAGCCAGGCACCCCTCACCTGCAGTTTTTTAAAGATTTATTTATTTTAGAGAGAGAGAGAAAGAAAGAGCACAAGTGAGGGAGAGGGGCAGAGGGAGAGGAAGGCACAGAATCTCAAGCAGACTCCCCACTGAGCATGGACCCCCCCCCCCATGCGGGGCTTGCTCTCAGGACCCCAAGATCATGACCTGAGCCGAAATCAAGAGTCAGGCGCTTAACGGACTGAGTCACGCCGGCACCCCCAGCTGGATTTCTATACATGAACAATGAACAGTCCATGAAAGGAATTAAGAAAACAATTCTGTTTAAAACAACATCAAAAATAATTAAATACATAGGAATGAATTTAACAAAGGAGGAGAAAGACTTGTACACTGGAAACTCAAAATATTACCCCCCCAAATTAAAGAAAGATATAAATAAATGGAAAAACATTTCCTGAAGAATTGAAAGACTTAGCACTGGACAATATTCCCCTAAATGATCTACAGATCCTGTGCAATCCCTATCAAAATCCAAGTGATATTCCTTGCAGAACTAGAAACATCAATCTTAACATTCATATGCAATCTCAAGGGACCCCAAATTGCCAAAGCAATCTTGAAAAATATCAAAGTTGGAGGACTCAGATTTGATTTCAAAACTTATTATAAACCTACAGTAATCAAAACAGTGTTGTTCTGTCTGGCATAAGGACAGACATACAGACCAATGGGATAGAATAGAGAGCCCAGAAGTAACCACTCACGTATATGGTCAATAATTTTTAACAAGGGTGTCAAGTTCACAGCAAATGATGCTGGAGTATCTTGTAGTGCCAGAAAGTAAGCAAGTATGAGGAAAAAAAAAACAACAAAACCCATTGGTGGGGATGTGTCAAAGGGTACAGGAGCCTGCTGAAAGAGCTCCCAGCGGCCAAAACTGCAACAATTTGAGCCACAAGATAAAGAAATGCTGTGTTATAAACCAAAGTATAAAATAAGTATGTGTGAGTCCACACTGATATAAATGATTGACTACATTACTAAATGGGAGAGAAGAGACAAATCTCCTATACAGAATTCCAAATAAATTAAATAGATCCTCCACTGAATTCACAGCGATCAATTTCAGTGCCAGAGGAAAAATTGTGTTGGACTTACTGAAATGAAGTCTATTGATTCCAACACGTCACCTTCTTAAGGGATTTTCAAGGGCAGTTTCAACGGTGATTTTTGCTTTACATGCTGAGGGCTGACTTCAGAAGTTAAACCTGAAGATGGTGGGGCCCTGTTAAATTCCCTGCCTGTTAAAGCCCACTACAGGGCCATACACGAGGCAGAGCTCCATGTTTGCTTTTTAAAAGGCCATAAGGGTGGGGCGCCTGGGTGGCTCAGTTGGTTAAGCGACTGCCTTCAGCTCAGGTCATGATCCTGGAGTCCCGGGATCGAGTCCCGCATCGGGCTCCCTGCTCGGTAGAGAGTCTGCTTCTCCCTGTGACCCTCCTTCCTCTCATGTTCTCTGTCTCTCATTGTCTCTCTCGCAAATAAATAAAATCTAAAGAAAAAAAAATTTTTTTTAAATAAAAAAAATAAAAAGGCATAAGGGTGCTTTACAGGGTGTCACGTGATGTGACGTTTCCGCACTCATTTGGTGTTGAGGTTGGAACGTTCACGCAAAGGTCAGATGCTGGTGCTGATGCAGCTGACACCCTCCACCTTCTTCCTAAACAAATCGGCCTCCTCGCTGCCTCCTCTTTCTATCAGAGACCTGCCCTGTACAGCCTTCTCATCCATTGCCTTAGGTGTCTGCCCTCACCTGCTACATTCGCGCCCACCGTCTATCCCACTTTAAACCTATGCCTTCCTATTAATATCTCCCACTAGAGTACTGATGATTAATATTCCCTAAAACAGAAGTGACTTGGAAACCCAGCTTTCCCATAATAGCTGCAAAGACCTGGCCCCGATTCAAGCCCACAAAACACAAGCCAAATTACACACTGGGTGGTGAAGGCATTTTTCTTTTTTCTTTTTTTCCAAATCCTGCCCTTGTGTGAGTTAAAGTGGAAGAAGTATTGTGTGACCACATTGTTCAAACAAAGGGAGATGATTGCACTCCTCCAGCTTGGTTTTCATTTCTTGGTTCTTCCCCAAGCCCCTGATTTCCGACTATACTTCTTTTTGATGTCTCCTCTTCCTTAGAAAAGGCCGGAGGGGAGGGCAGAGGGCAGTATGGGGCTTCATCCCCTAGAAGTGCAGAGCCATAGAGGTTTCTAAGAAGGTCAGATTTATATTTTTGTCTTAGAAATTAAGCTCAGGCTGATGGCAGAGGTTGCGTCTCCCAGTGATTTTCCATAGGAAGAATGATCATGCAAGCAATCAATTTCAAAGGGACTTCAAGGGTTGAAAACAACTCAGCAAGGGTGGGGTACCCTCAAAGCCCACAGGCTTCCAGCACACCTGAGTTTGAGCAGATATGCTTCTGAGGCTTCCTGGTTTTTTTTTTTTAAAGATTTTATTTATTTATTTGAGAGAGAGAGAAAGCACATGAGAGGGGGGAGGGTCAGAGGGAGAAACAGACTCCCTGACAAGCAGGGAGCCTGATGCAGGACTCTATCCAGGGACTCCAAGATCATGACCTGAGCCAAAGGCAGTCGCTTAACCAACTGAGCCACCCAGACGCCCCCTGAGGCTTCCTGTTTTAATGTCACCACTGGCCCCGTTTCCAATGCCCATCAAAACCGACACTGAAGGGACAGGAGTTGTGAATGGAGCACTATTGTCCGTCTATGGGGAGAGCAGTGGTCATTCTCGGCACATCTAGGTCAGTCCAAAGTTGAGAGGGGTGGGAGCTCATATGATCTCAGGATACCAGGACACTAGGAGAAAGGCAGAGACATGAGGTTCAGAAGTTCTGGCCCAGAAAACAAATTGTGTTTAACTAGCCATGTTTCCAAATCTTTGTCCAATCCTGATATACATAAAAAAGGGGTATTTGTATAGCTCGCTGGGATCAGCTTGAGGGAGCTTGGATAATTCTAAATGGAGCTTCCTGGAAGGGTGCCTGGCTAGCTCAGTTTGTAGAGCATGAGACTCTTAAATGCAACTTAATGGATAATCATTATTTACATTGTCTTTATATATATTAAAAAAAATAAAGATAAAAACAAAAAAAATCTATGATACTCTATAATTATGAGAAGAAAAACAAAAACAAAGTGTGGGGGCAGATTTAAATATTGAATCCATGTAAAATTTCCTGGTAACAACTCTGTGATTTTTTTTTTAAATGAAAAACTACAGCTTGTTTCTCTGTCTCTTTTTTATACCAAGTTTTATGTTTAAATCTGCACAGAGGGGCACCTGGCTGGCTCAGTCCGAAGAAGGTATGACTCTTGATCTCGGTTTTGTGAGTTCAAGCCCACGTTGGGTATAGAGATTACTAAAAAATAAACTTAAGAAAAACAAAAATGAAAAATAAAATGCACATAAATTCTGATCAAGACTTTTTTTAAAAGATTTTTAAAGATTTGTGATTTAAGATTTTTAAATTTATTTGAGAGAGAGAGAGAGAGAGAGCACAAGCAGGGGGAGGGGCAGAGGGAGAGGGAGAAGCAGACTCCATGCTCAGCTGGGAGCCCGATGCAGGGCTGGATCCCAGCACCCTGGGATCATGACTTGAGCTGAAGGCAGACGCTTAACCGGCTGAGCCACCCAGGTGCCCTGAGCAGTCGAAATTGTATTTAAAGGCTCTAGTAGCTCTTTTCTTCCATTAACAATGGTAATGTTACATTTTTTTTTCTGATAATGTGACTGGATTTTGAATCCAAAAGAACTCGGTCACACCAAGTATTTGGAAACGATGAAACTCATCTATGATTTGGGCAAGCTTGGTGAGGGGCCTTACTGCTGCCCCCGCTGAGATGTCACCAGAAGGCCCACTGAGCTGCAAACGAAGAGACATTTCCTAAATATGTGAGCAAGGATTCAGGACCACTCCCAGCAGCAGTAGTGACAGGAGCTGTTCCCCTCCCCCCAGGGCCCAGGGGTTCCCATCTTAAGGCTCCCTGGCAGGGATACTCCAACTTGCATTATCGCCACCTGCCTGGCTTTGGTGCAGCCGTGATACTAATTCTTTGTCTCAACCAAAAAGCCAAGGAGGTAGCAGACATATCATCGTACCCATAGTACAGAGGAGGAAGCTGAGGCCCCAAAGGTCAGGGATTATCCCCCGAGTGAAGCCAGAATCCCTGCTTCCCACCTCTTTGTTCCTGCAGAGCCTCGCTCACAGAGACTATCTTCTGAGAACAATATTCTGCTGGATGCTGCAAGGCTCTCCTATCAAAAGGAGGAATGGAAGACCCCAAATCAGAATTCCAAGGGGCCATATGAATGGGGCACATCTCTCAGAAGTCCATTTTCCAGTCAACATCCCAGGGAGGTGAATGCTATTCTCCCAGAACCTATGGAGGGTTCCTGGGGGATTTTTCTGTTTTCTTCTGGTTCTCTCTCCCTCCCCTCTCCCATCAGTGCCTAGTCCTCTCTTCCTCTTTCCTCTCCTCCCTCTCTTGCTTAACTCTCTCCTCCCACTTTTTAAGTCGTTAAAATACAGGATTGGAAGATTCTAGATACACATATTCTCCTTGTATCTATTGACAGAAGATATATGTTCTCTGTTTTAAACTTTAAACCAGGCAAATTTAATCTTTTATGTCTTTGAAAACAAAATTAAAAACCAATTAGGTTGCTCTGTAACTTTCTGGCTGTGGGCTCTGGGCAAGTTATATACCGCTCTGTGCCTCAGTTTCCTCACCTGTAAAATGGGGACACAAACAGCACCCATTTTGTAGGGTCATTGTGAAGATGAAATGAGTTGATACATATAAACAGTCTTTTTTCACCTTCTTTTAACAGCTTCAGTGAAATTATTAATATATCATAAAATTTACCCTTTAAAGTACCCAATTCAGTGGGTTTTAGCAGAGTCAAGAGTTGTGCACCCATCCTCATGATCTAATTCTAGAACATTTTCATTACCCCCAAAAAGAAACTCATTTGCCATTACTCCCCATCTCCCAAATCCCCAGCCCTTGGCAAACAGGGATTTGTCTATTCTGGACACTTTAAATAAATGGAATCATACAATACCTGATCTTTTGTGCTTCTTTTACTTAGCATAGTGTTTTCAAAGTTTCAAGGTTCATCCATGTTGTAGCGTATAGCATATTCTTTTTTTTTTTTTTTTTTTGGCATTCTTAAATGAACTTTTTTTTTTTATTAACACATAATGTATTATTTGTTTCAGGGGTACAGGTCTGTGATTCATCAGTCTTACACAATTCACAGCGCTCAACATAGCACATACCCTCCCCAATGTCTATCCCCCAGCCACCCCATCCCTCCCACGCCCACCACTCCAGCAACCCTCAGTTTGTTTCCTGAGATTAAGAGTCTCTTATGGTTTGTCTCCCTCTCTGGTTTCATCTTGTTTCATTTTTACCTCCCTTCCCCTGTGATCCTGTCTTGTTTCTCAAATTCCTCATATCAGTGAGATCATATGATAATTGTCTTTCTCTGATTGACTTATTTCACTTAACATAATACCCTCTAGTTCCATCCACATCGTTGCAAACGGCTATATCAGTACTTCTTGTCTTTTCTTTTGATGTGTGTATATGTGTATGTATAATTTATTTTTTCTTCTTGGTGCTTTAAAATTTTTCTTACAATTTCTTTTCTTCCTAACTTTATTGAGGAATAATTTACAAATAAAAATTGTTTATATTTATGGTGTACAATGTGATGACTTGATACATCTACACATTGTGAAATAATGACTGCAATCAAACTCATTAACACATCCATCACTTCAAATTGTTACCTTTTTGGTGTGTGGTGAGGACACTTAAGATCTACTCTATTAGCAAATTTCAAGTATACAACACAGTATGATTCACTCTAGTCACCATGCTGTGCATTAGATCCCCACAACTCATTCATCTTATAAATGAAATGGTCAACAGGTAGATGAAAAGGTGCTCGACATCACTGATTGTCAGGAAAATCAGAAGACACAAATTATAACCACAAAGAGGTATCACCTTACACCTGTTAGAGAGGCTGTCATCAGAAAGACAAGAAGTAAGAAGTGTTGGTGAGAATGTGGAGTAAAGTAAGTAGGAATGTAAACTGGTGCAGCCGCTATGAAAAACAGTATGCAGATTCCTCAAGAAATTAAAAATAGAACTATCATGTGATTCAGCAATTGCACTTCTGGGTATACATCCAAAGGAAATAAAATCAGGATTTTGAGGAGCTATCTATACTCCCATATCAGTTGCAGCATTAATAGCCAAGATATGGAAACACTGTAAGTGTCCACTGACAGATGAATGGATAAAGAATATCACACACACACACACACACACACACACACACACAGGAATATTATTCTGCCCTGAAAAAGAAGGAAATCCATTTGCAACAACATAGATGAACCTGGAGGGTATAATGCTAAGTGAAGTAAGCCAGACACAGAAAGACAAATACTGTATGATCTCACTTATATGTGGAACCTAAAAAAGTCAAAGTCACAGAAGCAAAGAGTAGAAGAGTGGGAGCTGGGGGTGGAGGAAATAGATCCTGGTAAAGAGATAAACAGCTTTGAAATGCATGTAGCACATTAATGTGCTAAGTGCCAATATTATGAAGTGATTTTTTTTAACCCTCCCTGTGGGTGGGTGGTTCTCAATCTTATGCCTTCTACCTTGTAGTAGGAGCTCTGCGATTATTTCAGGAGCACCTCTTACTGAGATTCTCCAATGGTTAGGCAGGACTTTTCCATTTAGTTGGCATAAGTGATGATTTACCATTGAGAAAAAGAGAGTGAGGAATTCAAGACCAATCAGCACCTGGCTCCTGGAGGAGAGTTGCTAGAAGGTTCTGACAGAGAACTGGGTCTTGAATCTTCTATATTAGGTGATACTGACTCTGGAGCAGGAATCCACACCCATACTTAACTTTGGGGAACAGTTCATTGCTGTCTTAGCTTGGGCCACTGTAACAAAAATACCAAAGACTGCATGGCTTAAACAACGGAGATTTGTCAGTTATGGAGGCTGGGAATTCTGAGATCAGGGTGCCAGCCTGGTTGGGTTCCAGTGAGGGCCCTTCCTGGTTTGCAGACAGCCGTCTTCTTGCTATGTCCTCACGTGGTGGATAGCAAGCTTTAGTTTCTTGCTCTTCTTATAAGGACACTAATCCATCCTGGGGGCTCTACCCTCATGACTTTATCAAAACCTACCTACCTCCCAAAGGCCCCATCTCCTATAACTAGGGGGTTAGGATTTCAACATAAGAGTTTTAGGAGGGGACACAAACATGCAGTCCATAATGAATGCTACTTGTTAACCGTCTCCCCCTTTTTTTTTTAAGATTTTTTTATTTATTCATTTGACAGAGATAGATACAGCGAGAGAGGGAACACAAGCAGGGGGAGTGGGAGAAGGGGAAGCAGGCCTCCCGCAGAGCGAGGAGCCTGATGAGGGGCTCCATCCCAGGGCCCTGGGATCATGACCTGAGCCAAAGGCAAATGCTTAACGACTGAGCCACCCAGGTGGCCCTCCCTGTCTTTTTTATTGTGATTATTGGATATAGGGGTCTGCAGTCATTCTCTCATTTCAGTCATTTATGTGACAGTAATCACACAAAATACCCTGTTAAGGGTCATAAATATTTAAATAGATAATCCACTTTTTCGTTTGACATTGTTAACACATAAAGGATTTTTAAAAGTAGAATAAAACTACATTTAAAGAAGACAAATTGAAAAATTAGTCACAATAGAATGCAAGGCCATCTAACTCTGACAAATTCTAAGGCCATGTAGCTCTGCTGAAGGCTCACTGACTCAGAGAAAAATATCTGGAGTCCACCACAAGTAAAAAGCAGTCCAATATAGTTTTTTTTTCTATTAGAAAAGTATACAAATATACCTTGAATTAAAGTTCTTCTAACTCCACGGTCTATTAAGGCAGGAACCCAGTTTTCCAATTCAGTGGTACATCCTCCTCTGACTGAGAAAAATACTGTGGACAAAATGTGATTTGAAAAGAGTATTTAAATTTTTTTATTTTATTACATTTCTTAAGAGCAATAATCACCTCATGCCATTTATGCTGAAATAACAGAAACTGGAATAGCAAGGCACTACAGAAATGAATGATGGAGAAGCCCTTGGGTGATCCTAACCAAGACATGGCCCTAATCAACATTGTCCACAGTTGTTTCCATAGGAAGAAGCTTACTCCCTGTGAATTCCAGTGGGAAAGAATGACTTAATGGGAATACTCTTCATTGTCTGCTCTATCAGATACTTTATAGTTTCTGGAAAGCCAAACTTCTTTCTACCATAAGGAAAAGTGAAAATGATGTCTTGCACAATGCCTGACGCATTCTATCATTCATTCATTCATTTATTCATTTTCCTAGTAATGTGGGAATCGGGAATCCTGTCTTATTGGTGAGGGAACTGAAGTTCCAAAGGTATAAAGGCGATCTCTTAAAGATTACACGGGAAACAATTTGACCAGCGCTTTTCTCATCTGGAGGCAACGAGGCATCGCTGCTCAGTTAGCATGCTCTTTAGCCAGAAGACTTTCGGTTTTAAGAAAAATCAGAGCCTGACCAGGCAGCACACAGCATCAAGATGAAAACAGGTGACAGTGTCTACAACATTTAATTATGAATCTTCAAGCAAGAACTCCATCTTCTGGTGGCACCTGCCCCTCCAAAGGGGCAATGAGGCTGCGTTTGGGGAAGCTGGTATGGAGCAAAGGACCCGGCTCACCGTCGCGCTCAGAGGGGACAGGTGTGTGTGTGCGCGCCAGGGTCGGGAGGAGAGGCAGAGGCACTCCTGCCCCATGACCGCACCCGCAGCCACGTTTTCCGCGGAGCGAGACGCCGCTCGGCTCTCGATTGCTCGCGCCTGGCGCGGCGGGCGGCGCACCCGGAGGCCGGGGCTCTGCGCTCGAGCGGTCGAGCCTGACCCGTACCCGCAGAGAATCGCTCAGCGACTGCCCGGGGCCCGGGGCGGGTAGGAGGAGGCCGCAGTGGCCGGCGCGGGGATGTCGAGGAGCTCGAAGGCGGTGCTGGGCCTCTCGGTGGTGCTGACGGCGGCCACCGTGGCCGGCGTGCATCTGAAGCAACGGCAGGACCGGCAGGTCGGTGTCACGTGACCGCCTCTTCCGGGGTCCGCGCGCGGTGGCCGCGGCGACGGCGACCTTGGGCCCGCTGGTCTCTCTCCGCGTGGTTCTCCGCTGCTCCTCGTCTTTCCCTCTTTCGCGGGTCCGCGGCGGCGCGGCCCGCCTCCCCCGCGCTCTCGCGACTGCGGCCTGGCCGCCGCCCGCCGGGTCCTGGGCGCCGCAGTCCCCGCGGCCGCGTGCACCGGGAGGCCCCGGGCGACCCCGTCCTGGCCGGCGCCTGGGAGCCCCGGCCCTCGGCGCTGCAGCCGCCTGGCTCCCGCTAAGGCCCGCCCGCGGCGTGGTCGGCGGTCCGGTTCCCAAGTCACCGCCAACCTGCAGTGACACCGACTTTTAGCGTCTCACCTGGGCTGCTGCAAAGTCGAAGCGGGGAAGGGGTTTGCGTGGGGTGCACTCAGCAAGTTGTCGGCCTCTCCCCAACCCCAGGCCCAAGGTTGAGGCTCAATCCTAATGTGTTTCAGTGCTAGTGAGATTTTATCCCAGGATTAAGGAGGCTTCCCCGCATCCACTTTCCGTGCCTTTGGCCAAGGTAATTTGATGGATGCTTTTTTTTTTTTTTTTTTGGTCTTTTGTCTTTTAAGAAGCAGTTTGCTATGGAAACCAGATTCCGGGAACTGGAGATACCAGCCTCCATATTTTCTTTTTTTCGGTACTTGTATTTCTGGAAATAACCGTGACTTACTGATGGGTAGAATGGCCGTCCATTCTGTGTCTCTCAGTTCCTATTTTCTTTACTCTAGTTGGCGCATGTTTAATGACCGATCTCTGTGTGTTAGGCACCACACTAGGCACGTTGAGAAACAAAGATAAGGAAGGACAGGCGTCCCTGAGTCTGTAACTGATTCACAGCAATGCGGAACGTTGAGTGTGAGAACAAGCACCTAGGTCAGCGCGTGTGTTAGGGTTGAGCCTAGTTTGCTAAGGGTGGAAATGAACTGGATGAACTAGTAAACAGTCTTTTCTTGCATTGGGCTGAGCAGTGTGCTTGGTATACAGAGATGAAGCAGATGAGGTCTTTGTCCTTGTTGTTCACAGTTTGTGGAAATCAGAGAAAGGTGTGATGGTGTAAGAATTTTGGGGAGGGGGTGTTGGGATGAATCATGACGGTGTGAAAGGTTAGAGATTTGGGAATCAAGTATGGCTTCTGAGGGGGTAGCTTTTGGAACACAGGCAGGAGAGTTCCTCTTCTAAGAAATGAAAGGAAATGAGGGTGATCAAAAGAAATTTGAGATGCAGTAGAGGATTTAGCTCTGAGGTCAGTGAAGGCAGAGATTTTCAAAGAGTATGGGGTAGGATGGGTAAGAACTTGGTTCTGAACTAGCCACACATCTCATGTTCCTGGGAAGTTTTTTACAACCTAACCTACTCCAGACTTCTTAAATGAGAATCTCTTGGAGGTGGGGGATCCAGCTTAGGTATGTTTTAAAAGCTACCCAGGGAATTCTAACATGCAGGCCGGGTTGAATATCACTGTGCTAGAGAATGGAAGAACAGAAAGAGCTAGATACTTGGAAGTTAGGTGAAGAGAAGATTGACCAGAATAACCTGTGTTTATTTTACATCCAGTCATTCACCATGGACTTTCTTTCTCGCCTGGGAGGGAGTAAAACAGATGATTGACACTGTGGGTGTGTTGGAAGTTTCAAGGAAGCAAGAAATAAAATAATGACTGTAGTTTACTATCATTTTTGACTGTCTGCCACATACCAGGTACTGACATTCATCCTTACAGGAACCCAGCAAAAAGAGTAGTGCTATATGAGTAATGGTCAAGAGGTCTTGGTGGTTAGGAAGATAGTTAAGTGGAAGTCACAGGCAATCAGCATATATTGAAACTTGGAGGAAGGTAGCAAATGGTGGCCGGAGAGCAAGCTCCTAAGCCATATGCTGAAGTCTGAGAAAGGAAGGGTGGGATCTCAGAGGCAGGTGTGGGAAGAATGATTCCAGCCAATGGTGTGCGCTTTGGGAGGTGGGGTGGGAGTGTGGGTGGGTGTGTCATGGTTCTTGGAGCATAGGACCAAACACCAGGAGAGGGAGGAGTCAAATGTCTCTGGAGATGTGGTCAAGGAGCAGTGTTCCAAAAAGTTGGTTTTCAGTTGTATTGTCTGTTTCAGGACTCTTAAATTCCCCCAGACTCCTTGGTAAGAGCAAATGACACTCTAGGCTTGGAGGAGGTCCAGCAAGTAGGTACTTTGTGAGTTTTTAAAATAGACCTGATAATTTAAAACAAAAAAACAACCCCAAGCCTGGGCCCCACCCCCATTAATTCTACCTCACAAGGCCACTGTTAAAAAAAATTAGAGTATTTTGTGACCTAAAAACCGTAAAATGGTAATTATTAGTAATGACTGGATTTTTGCTTTAAAAAGTCTCACCTTAAGTGCTAGGTCCATGTTCTGGAATTTTCTGCCTGTCTTTAGTGCTTATCAAAGTAACTACCACTGATGGGCCTTTATTTTTTCGTCTGGTAGTAGCAGAGTCTCGGTTATATAACTGGTTGGTAATTCTTTATAATTTTTGCTTCTTCTCTTTACATACTAGAAAAAACCAAGTTCTTTCCTTTCTTGCATCCTATTTAAATTTCAGTAACCTTCTTTTTTCTTTCTTTGATGTTTATTATTCAGTGAGATAATTGCTAACATGAGTGTAGTTCATAGAGTTACTGTGGTAAATCTCACCAAGTCTTTTAAAGCATTGAATATCAATTAAGCTTTTAAAGTTCAACACAGGAGCAGTTTTTTCCTTTTTAAGTTAATGTTATTTCCCATTAAGTTTCTATACTGAATGTTCAGGAATTTCTTAAAATAATGATAAGAAGTCATTTTAGTGATAACACTAGTGGAGCACACTGCGAAATTAATCTGATGGTTTATTACATTTTACATTTATGCAGAAAGTTGAAATAGTAATTGGGTATTTGGAGTCTGAAAGTTTTCAGTGTATTTTAGTAGCACTGTTACTCGGATTGAATGGCACGAGGATGGGAACCACCTGTTCAGGGTGTTACTGAAATCTGTTTCTTACGTTTTTAGAGGCTTCATGATGGAGTGATCAGAGACATTGAGAGACAAAATCGGAAAAAAGAAAACATTCGTCTTTTGGGAGAACAGATTATTTTGACTGAGCAACTTGAAGCAGAAAGAGAGAAGATGTTATTGGCAAAAGGATCTCAAAAAACATGACTTGAAATGGATGTCAAATATTGATGGGACAGTGTCAAGTGTGGGTGTGCGAGTGTGGATAGAGAATAGCTTAGTGAGGTCTTTAACCTTTTTTTGGTCACTGTCCTTTCCAGCTTGACCAGAGAAAAGGACAGTGGACCATATATTCTAAATTACTGCTTTAAAAGTCCCTTCTGAGTCAAGAAGCAGGCAGACACTCTTCTGAAGAATTTCTGTCTGTGTGGTCCTGGTAGAAGCCCTGGTAAGCTTGGTGTCCAGAGCTTAGGATTGTTAGTGAAAAGCACTTTGGAACTGTGAGAGGAAGGGATGGATAGTAACATGCACCTGAGTAGTTTGATAAGCCGGCACGATGATGAAGCCACGAGAACATCTACCTCAGAAGGGCTGGAGGAGGGGGAGGTGGAGGGGGAGACTCTCCTGATCGTGGAATCGGAGGACCAGGCATCAGTGGACTTATCTCATGATCAGAGTGGGGATTCCCTCAACAGTGATGAAGGAGATGTGTCGTGGATGGAGGAGCAGCTGTCCTACTTCTGTGACAAGTGCCAAAAATGGATCCCGGCCAGTAAGGAGCTTCTCAATTCCTTTGATTTGTCAATTCCTGCATGAAGGTTGTTTTTCTAACCTGTGAGCCAAACATGAATGTAAAATGGACCTAAATAAAAAGATAATTATTATATTTATTATTAGTTTAGTTGGTTAATGACAGATTTATATAAAACATAGACACATTTGTATTAATAAAAATTACTGTCAACCTCTCACGTTGTTAAATTAACGTTCTTGATGGCAACCCAATAAAAATCAGAAAATTGGAAATTCTGCGTTATTTAAAGAATTAGCCACATTGTTCTAACAAGATCATGTTACGGATTTGGGGCCAAATAATAGGCCCAGTATAGAATTAAGGTTCAAGTTACTCGGGTAATATTTAACTCCCATGGAAGACTGCTGTTGTATGCTAAGTCAGAATTAGCAGATTGAGAGTATTTTGTGCTCTTTTTCTGGGACCATTCTTGTTTTCTGCTTGCTGGCCTCCTAGATCTGCTGGCAAGAGATACATACACACGTGCTCTCCTGATACCTCACTCTTTCAACTTAATCTTTGCATCTGCCAGCTTCCAGGCTCTCAAGGAGCATGCTCTGCCAGCCATCATGAGTCTTAACCAAAACAGGATTTTCCCATTAGGCAGAGACTAGTAAAGGAATTCTTTGTGTAATAGAGTTTGTAACTAGGTCAGAGGAATTTGTGTGTGTGTGTGTGTGTGTGTATACACATACATACATGTGAAATGGGTCATTTTCTGGTATGTGGAAATGTGTTTAAGATGGATTTAACTATTCAGAATAATAGTTACTATTAATAAATTAACATTTTCATAGGAAACAATGTAGAACTTTCTATGCCTTAGCTAGTGTTTGCTTCTGAGCAGTTTCTGCTTATTGATTCACGCACCTGCCTGAAAATCTCAGTGGCATTCCCCTTGTCCTCTCAGGATGTGTTTTAAGCTGTCTTTCACGATAG